TTCAATCGATTCGATATTCTTTAAATAAAGATCAGCTTCTACTTAGAAGAACAGCCGATGATAAGAATACATATTATCTTGGGCAATTGGATGAATTTCAAGAAAAATCAAATGAATATATTGAAAATTCAAATTCTTATGAATTTATTGCTATAATTGACGAAAATCATACAGAAGAACAACAATTGAAGAAAATTATGCAAGCCCTTGATGTAGAATTTGACAAACTTTATCAAAGAAAACTAATTCATAAAGATTATCAAATGAAATTTAGTATCAGTAAAAAAACAAATATTAAATTACCCTATGTTTATTTCTTACCAAGGAAAGATCAAGATGATAATGTATTGGTTGAACCACGATTTTCATCTTTTAAAACTAGTCCAATTTATGCGTTGGCTAATTATCTTGACGAAATTCTACGACCATTATTTGAAAATTATTCAAGTTCAACTACTTCTCTTAATGGTGGAGATTTTATGCAAAAACTTGATTATTACAGTACACAACAAAATTTTCTTAAACCACAAACTAATTTTGCAACATTTAAAATTCATAATCTGTCTATGAATGTATCACATTCTTCACTACTTCGTGCACTAGGTACATTTCTAGTTAGTCCATTAGTTGATAATCGATTTTACAAATTATCAAGTGAAGATATTGAAGCATTGATGGCACTTGTCTTAAAAAATATATTCTTTACATTTAACAAAAAGCTCTATCGAGTTACAAAAGGCTACCCATTAAATTTACCAATTACAGATCTATTATGTAATATTTATTTACATGATTGGCAAACGTCTTTACTTCGACAAATACATTTGAAAGAGTTATTTTATAGTCGTTATCATAATATAGGCTTTTTCACTTGGAATGCTTCAACTGAATATCTAGAAAGATTATTCGATGAACTTCAACAAACCTTAGATTTTGATATTAAACTAATCACATATATTGGCACTCGGGTCGAATTTCTTAATGCTGTCATTGAAAACGTAAAAGGAATTCTTGAAACACGCGTCTATCATAATCCAAATGAACAACCATTTCTATTACCTTATGCTGAGAATCATCCACGATTACGACATCGACAATGGTTTCGATATGCTCTTATACGTGCTGGTCAATATTGTAGTTCATTTGAAGATTTTGAAGATGAAAGACGGTACATCGAAATGACATTTCTAACAAATGGATATTCATTAGATTTTGTCGAATATCATCTGCGACAGTTCTATTCAATATTTTTTCGTAGTGAATATCGAATCAAAGATATGAATCGTCATACATATAGAACACTTCGTCGCGAATTATTCTGTTTTGTTGATGAAGAAAAACGGGAACTCAAAGAAGCACAACAGTTACAAAAGAATCACCTACGAATTGATTTACATTATTTATTTGACTGGGGTTCTCGATGTCAATTCAATGACCGATTCTATAAACTTTGGTCAAGTATAATTAATGAAGATCCAGAATTTAAAAACTTTGACTTAAAAATTAATGTCAATAGCAAACATTGTTATTCATCAAATATGTTGTTATCTCGAATAAGAAAAGACATGTAGTTTATTCCTATAGTTTAATTTCATGTAGTGATTATTCTATTATTTTTGAAATGATTCATTTAGATGCTTCGTAGAAATCATCGTATCAAATAAATTAAACTTAGTTCTTCAGTTACTCTGTACATGTTTCACAATGCTGTTCTATTTGTAGCGTCAAAACACATATTTCACTATCATTTTCAATTGTAGATATTCATGGATCTCCAGTTTTAATTGATATTATAATTAAAAAGATATGAAATGCATGCAACACAAGGAATGCTGAAGTATATAACACATTATAAGTGAAGTATCATGGATAGCTATTATTCAAAAATTGTAACTCTATCGCTTATGGAAAAAACAAGGACTGGGGCACACATTACAATGACTTCACATTCAGCACCTGCTCGACTTTTTGTCTATTGATTCATTTTATTTTAACACAATGCAAGAAAGTCACGAGGTAAGCAAGCACACGTAATGGAACTTTATTAACGAATAAGTAATACATAAACAACACTATTTCATATTTTATTTTTTACTCCAAAACAATATATATATGATTAAAAATATAGAACACATAAAAACTAAATATTTTCTTTGTTTTCAAGTAAATAACGGTTACTCGAAGGTCGCCGATATCAAACCAAAGCAATCATATACAATAAGCCGATCCGAAGACCTGAAGCGCACAATCTTATAAAAGATATCAATCGCGCCGCAAAACAATTTAACTCTGAATTCCTTGCAAGGCTCTTAAGCACATCATTTGCATTTGAAACAGTATTTATCATTGCATCGATTGCTCAAAAGCAACACTAGAGACTCAAAGATTGCTTTGTATCCATACTATGGGCTATTTAATTTCAGTCTGAATTTATCAAATAAAAATAATACTTGATTTCAAACTGAAACGTGAGTCTAGGAGTGAGGGTGGGGAGTGACTGAGGGTGTGGGTGTTGGTCTGGGACCCACACACACACCCACACCCATGGTGCGGGTGTGGGCGCGCGAGTGAGGGTGAGGGTGTGCATGTGGCTTTGTGTACTATAGGCTTTAGTCCCCTGCACAAGGGACTAAGCGGGGACTAAGCTTTTTGTGGGGGGGACTAAGGGGGACTTTGCAGGACTAGGGGGGACTAAGGGTTTTTAGTGGGACTACGTAGTATCAAACGAGAAAAGTTTGATTCGGAAGAAGTTGGTGCGGTTTTTTTGATTTTAGAATTCAGTTTGAAATAAAAAAGCCCATAGACTCTTTGTATCACAGGACAATAGATTAATTTGCTTCTATCTGTTATATTCTCCGTTTTTCCCGAAACCTCTTATAGAACTACCTCTCTTTTGACTTTCGATCGATATGCAATCAAATCTAGATACCGAACCTACAACAAAAAGATCCTAAAGCAAGATCCAAAACGGTCGCCAGTCTCTCGCTTGTGCTTCTAAATAAAAAATCTTGAGCTTCTCCATAAAAACACCCACATCGACATCCACACCCCACACTCCCAAACATAGCCACTGACACTAACAAGCAGATATCTTCACACACATACGTCGGTCTAAATGAAAACTACTTTTTTTCGATTTCGCCGATTTTATGCACTGAATTCAAAGAATTGATTATCTTTCCTGTCGATCACAACCCAGCTCAATCATTCTAAACCGACACACAGAATACAAACCACTATAATCAATGACAGATAAATATATCGCACGTGAGACCTCTACTGATATTCGCAAGATCTACTGTAGCCCTACAGCAGATGATTGTGAAATTCTAATTATTGATAATCCTATGTTAGTATCTATCCTACATAGATATGATTCTAGATTTTCAAAATATTAATATTTAACCGAAAAAGTCTAAGTATTTTGAAAGTGCTGCCCTTGCGACGTGTTCTAGCAGATATTTTTTAAAATAGTAGAGACAATTTTCTATCAGCATGACTATCGTGGTTGAAATTAGTTCCCAATGATCCGAGGCATATAGACATAGAAAGATACTCGAAAAAAATAAGAAAAAGTCAACGTCCTAAGAAATCCGGAAGGTTTTTTAATGAAAATCGGGTTTCAGTGAAAAAATTTTTTTTCTTTCTTTTCGATTTTATCCGTTAAATTGAGAGCGTGTCATATCATTTATCTATATCATAGGGCAATTCAATCATTCAAAGGAGAGAGATCGAATAAAATAAATTATATTTAATGTTCGGGGAATGCATGGTATGCGAGTCCTCTACTGTTATTCGGACGGCCTGTTGTAGGCCTACGGTAGATGATTGTGAAATTCTAATTATTGATAA